AAAGATAGAAAGTCGTCAACCACAGCTTGATTTGCAGGTCTGATGATGATACAACGATACCAAAAGTGGCACATTGAATAGGAGTTTGTGCTACGCTGTTTGAAGTGTTGGATATATAGTCTCTTGCATGTGCATTTATTCTCGCATCGTCTCGCGATCAAGATACCCATTTCGTTTGGTGATAATAACGAATACGAACAAAAAGTCATTTTGTCATGTCTCGTTGCTTTATTTATAGCCTCAACTCTAAGCTGGTAGCTTGCCCGGTTTGCCGGATAGGATCCACGGCCGTCTATCCCAGAAATCATTCTTGATAATATCAACGTGGTCGACAACGACCTGTGCTTTCCGTCGCAGTTTTCGGAGCCTCTCTTGCTGTGTCCTTGATTGCTTTCCCTCTGGCACAGTAGTGTTGTCCACCTCCCCTTCCTGGACCAACTCGGGCTCTTGAAGTTCGAACTGAGGCAATGCGTTAGCGATATTGGACTTATTCAAGAAGCATATATTCGTACCTGGCGGTAAAGAACGCTTCCTTTCTTATAGATTTCCTCTTCATTGTTGTAGTTGATGCCAAACCGCTTGAAGAGGATTTCATTCTTATCACCGGAGACAGTTCCCTGCACCAAGTTAGCCGGGTGTCCTTCGCCGAGGATCTGAAAAGAGAAAACGCCTATTTCTAAAAACTGCATACCTTCAGCTCTTGTTCAGCATCAGTGTTGCTCATACCACCTTTCAGAACCATCATCCAAAATGTTGTGTTATAGAGATTGTTGATGTGACCTAGAAAAGAAAGTCAGCTTACTAGGTCTAACATACCAATTCCAAACACAAGGCGAAACTCACAGTCAACCTGTCTCCAGCTCATGTAGTCCCGCAAGAGCCCATTTGATGGGTAGATAACTGCTCGCCCGTCGAATGAAGGCAGATAGGGCGGCTGAAGAGGCATTGAGGGGAAGTACTCCGACCACTTGTAAATGTAGTATCCCGTAAATGCTGACACAATAGTCGTCACCAGTTTTCTGGACACAAGATAGTTTCATCAACAAAGTTGCCCCATAGAGGAATGTGTAAGAAAATATGTAGAATTGGAATAAACTTACGCACTCCGCCGCTCGAAGAGTTGGCAGTTAGGATGGAAGACAAAGCTGGGATTTTGTCAGCAAATATATTAGATAAAAGTTACAAATATACACACCTGAACTCGTCGCTAACACCATAGGCGATGCATAGATCCGGTAGTTCTTTCATGACCTCGACCGCGGCAGCATTCATCAGATCTAAGGCACGGCGGTCATTGGGCTTGGTGAATTGATAGTGGTCTGAGAACCTATATAGATCAATATCAGCCCTGATCCATAATTTTTGCGGACAACTGTATTCAAACTGGAGCATCTTACTTGTGAAACCCTTTGCCATCGATGCGCACGACAATCCATGTACTGGGGAGCAGAACGTCTGTTTGCTCAAAGTCTTTGACGTACTCGTACCTGTGGCAGGTCAGCAAATATTATCATACCGACTGGTTAGCTTCAGAGCTTACTTGGAGTTCGCCATGGTTCCTTTTGTCTCCAAAGAGCCTGGGGTTGTGGAGGAAGGCTAGTCTTTCCGATGAAGAGTCATTTTGTGTGGGTGTCCATGACCCGCCCATGGATGCCCGCCCGCTGCGGGATCTCAGGCTCTGCTGAAATTCATACCTTGGGAGTATAGCATCTATGCTGTGCGCTAGGCAAACCTTGGAAGGGAATCTAAAAGAATAAATTTGGTACCTCAGATAATCTCGCCACACATTCATTAAAAATTCAAGTTGATATGTTTTTTTTCCAACAAAGCATACTACGCTGGTACTTGTAAATTCAGTAGTCGTTACTGAGAGTTCTAGTTTGTGATATCGTGATGAATGATAATAATAATAATATTATTATTACGTAGAACCCTTGGAATCTCGCAAACCACCATCTGATCTCAATATTTTCATCAAATGAAAAGTTCAAACTGACAGTGATACCTCCAGTGATTGCCTAAAGCGGTTAGCGCGATATCGGAGCTCCTTCCAGGTCTTTTCGGCCTCAGCGAAACCCCGTCGCGATCTCCCCCCAGCAGTGCCGACTTCAGTATCAACCCCGGTTCACGCCGTCTACTACCAATCGCTCTGGCCCCGGAGGCATGTTGCAGTATCGGTAGTTGGATAGATTCAAGTTACCGCCTGCTCATTCTAAATCACATCTCACGATTCTGACGAACCACTCTCCCACCCTTGGCGACTTGTCCCACATCGCAGCGTCACTAGTCGAACACTCACAAAGATGGCATCTCCCAGCCAAACCCAAGGCTCTGCGCCAGCCACTCAACCCATCACACCACCAGCTGAATCATCCTCAGCAGCCAACGGCGTATCTGCCCCTGCCGCGACCACCTCCGCTCAAGCATCTAGCAACGTGCCAGCAACAGCACCCACTACTTCAACAACACAACTACCGCAAACCCCCGGTACATCTCTTCAAGATAGCGGCAAATCGCGACGCCCGCGTGATGTGCGACTCGTGCACATGCTCCTCGCCTCGCTCGGCGTAACAGCATATCAAGACCGCGTCCCCCTCCAACTCCTCGATTTCGCATACCGATACACCTCCAACGTGCTCACAGATGCAGTGCACCTCGCCACAGAAGGATATGCTGGTGCCGTGGGAGATACCGGGGCTACAGGGAAGGCAGCTACATCTACGGAGACGAGCGGTGTGTCATTGCCAGCTCTGCGACTGAGCATTGCGTCGCGTTTGCATTACCAGTTCCAGACCGGCCTACCTAAAGAATTCTTGATGGAGGTTGCGTCGGAGAGAAACCGTATTGCTCTTCCGGGTGTCAACCGAGGCTTCGATCCTGCCGCGGCTGGCCCCGACGGCGCGCCTCCCGGTGCCGCCAACCAGAGCGTGTTAGTTGGAGGTATGCGCTTACCGCCTGAGCGATTCTGTCTTACGGGTACTGGGTGGAATATGAAGGATGAGTGGGATAGTGAAGGAGAAGAGGATATGCCCGATGCGTCGCAGAAGGCTGGATTAGGACCGGCTGCTGAGGGCGAGGAAGACGACGAGGGAGATGATGATGATGGCGATGGAAAGATGGAGGACATCTTTGGCGAGGATACTGCCATGGGAGAGGCTGGTGATGGAGATGAGGATCAGAAGATGAACGATGCTTAAATCGCTGCCCTTTTTTCTATTGCAGGCTATGTCAGGCTTTCATCAACTATATCTTGGGCTGGGCGGTGTTCTTTGGCGCTTGGTGTTTTTCTTTCTTTCTTTCAAATTTACAGCCATCTCGACCTGGGCAGAAGGCCAGGTATCAGGGTTGGGAGAGGATATGTTGGACCATTTGATTCCATACGAATTTGATGGCTATCCAGATCACCTTGTCATCGGAATAGTGATGCGCCGGCCATAAAGAAAACAAGGAGAAGAAGATATTCTGGCGAATAATCTGGTGAATGAGAACAAGAAATGGATCCTATGTATAATGTACATAATAAAATGACATCCCATCGCTCCAAAATTGGGAAGATCATGCAACACATGCCCGTAGAAACGCCTGAAATACCCCATTTGTACGCCGTGAGGAGAGAGAAAACACGGAGAATCGAAATACATGCTTGGCTGTTTGCGAGGGAGATGGCCCGTCTCTAGCAACTTGAAGTTTCGAAAAGCTGGAACGTCTCCTGCCAAACAGGATATCTCGACAGCGTTCGCATTGCGGTGGTCCGATATCCGGGAGACCCCTTCCGATTTTCCAACCTTGATGGTTCATGCCCACAAGGATGCTTTGAATTGAAGAGAGAAGCAATGCAAGCAGCGAAGATCTGCCAGACGCCGAAACCCATAATGAAAATATACACTCACCAGAGATGTATCCGGTTATAAGAGAAGTGCACCATGAAAACAGAAGATATTGCCCAAGCAGCATCACCTCTCCTTGGCTTCTTTTTGTTTCCGCTCATCTTCCCGCATCATCCGAATCACCTCCTCGCGGCGCTTCTCGACGCGTGCTAATTCTTCATCGCGGACACGGCGTCGGTCAGGATACGTTGAGAACCACTCCTCACGTGCGCGATCTTCTTCCTCTCGAGTAGCGTGGGCTAACATGCAGGAGTTCATCGTTAGCCGTTGTTGACGGCATACCCAAGTGGCAGTAACGGTACGATTGACGGCGCATTCAGCGAAAGCTGCAGAGAAATTGTTAGCTAATTGTCCATCCATTCAGTGGACTGGCTGGAGGGCATGAAGGCACGTGGTGCGATCTCGGCCGAGCTCGGGTTTTGTGGAATTGATGCCAAACAACGCTCTCAAGAATTCCAATGGAAAGAAAGAAAAGTGATACCACATACCCTTGATCTCGGGGGCGCAGTGGCCTCGTACACGCTTGTAGTAAAGTGCTTTCACTTCTTGCTCCTGAGGAGCTGAGAGGGGAAGTGGGTTCCGCAGGTTGAACTTTTTGGGAGCGGTATTTGATGACGAGGCATCAGAGGATGTCGATGGTGTGGCCATTGGAACCGAGAGTTCGCTCGTGCGGAGATTGTGAGGTTGACAGCCGCAGATCAGATGTCTATGAGATGGGGTGCTTGATCGGCTGATCGGGGCGACAGCAGCGATTGATTGGACCCAGGACTAGCGAAAGCTGGAAGGGAGTTCGGACGAAGGTAACGACTCGAGTGTTCAAAACAATTGGGTTCCACGGACGATGAGGGGGCCTGGTGGGAAGAGGTGTGTTGATGCGGAGCGCGAGCAACCGAAGTTCGGGCGGAGAGCCAAGGCGGAAGCAGAAAAAAAAAAGCCTCCAGACAACCTTAAGAACTTCACTCTCACACCACTTGAGTCGCTCGGTGGGCCCTTTTTCCAGCTCTGTTTTCCCCCTCGCTTTTAGGGTCGTTGAAAATTTCTCAATATTTTATCTTCACATTCATCTTCGTCCTTCACAACCCTCTTCGCCCGGAAACGTGACAACCACTCAAAATGTCTTCGATGCGCAACGCCGTCCAGCGGCGAAACCACCGCGAGCGTGGCCAGCTCCAGGGCCGTGAGAAATGGGGTATTCTCGAGAAGCACAAGGTATGTGGCTATTCTAATCTGCATTTTGTCTAAGACAAACAAAATCAACCCCCGAAAACAGAAAACAGAACTAACAGCTGTATGATAGGATTACTCACTCCGCGCAAAAGACTACAATGATAAGAAGGCGAAGCTGAAGCGCCTCGAAGAGAAGGCGCGCGATCGGAACCCCGATGAGTTCAACTTCGGTATGATGGGCGATCGGAACAATGTGCAGGGACGACATGGACGAGGCACTGGCGTCTCGCGAGATTCGGCAGCAGCTCGCGGACTGAGCCACGATGCTATCAAACTCCTCAAGACCCAAGACAAGGGGTATCTGCGGACCGCTGGAGAGCGCATTCGCCGCGAAATTGAGCGCCTGGAGCGCGACGTGCAGCTGCAGAATGGCATGAACGATGCTCTAGGCACAAAGAGGCAAGAAAAGGAACTCGCCGAGGACGACGACGAGTTCGGCGGATTTGATGATCTGGATGATCTCGACTTTGATGCCCCATCACAGAAGAAGAAATCGCGCAAAGTAGTCTTTGCCGACGACCGCGGCGAGCAGCGAACGCTGAAGAAGAAGCGTGATCAGGATGAAGATGGCATGGAGGAGGACTCTGACAAGGAAACATCCACCCGCAAGACTCCTAAAGCAACTGGCCGCCGAACGGCAAGCGTTTGTTGAGGCGCGCCGAGCACGAAAGCTCCGCAAGCGTGCCGTCGAGGCCCGGGACAACAAATTGACGGCGTTACGCAATCAGTTCGCCGAGATTCAGGCGGCTGAGAATGAAGTTGACTGGCAACGGGCTAAGATGGACAACATGATTGGAGGCACAAACAAGAATGGAGTCAAGTGGAAGATCCGCGAGCGCAAGCGTTAGCGGACGGCGGGGCTTTAACGAGTTGATGACTGCCAGGGTACTCCATCTACATCTACATACAGCTTGTCACATATTTTCCTGTATTGATATTGATACCAGCATAGACAAGGAGTTTGGGCGCATTGGGAAATCTAAAATCCAAAATATACTAGGACTAGTACATACCAGTATAACGTATAACTATCTACATACTCTACAGTATAATTACTAGTACAAGCCATTCACGCGGGGTGTATTGATAATCGCCCCCGCACTAAAGGTAAGGAAGTGTTCGCTCAAGCCCCGAGACATGACACTGAGAGAGAGCCTGTTTGACCACGTCCGACTCCGATCACCGGCGCAATTGTATACCGAGTTAGGGTAGGAGATCCTTAATGGCCGCCCGCTGATAGGACCAACAGAGGATACTAACTTGACTAACTCTCTCTACGAACTCCACCTGCCGCGCTCGATTATAAATGGGCGCTTACTAAGTTATCTTTTATCAGAAATGTCGCCACCCCTCACTTGACGCACTTTTCCTCTTCTTCCTAAGGTTCCTCAGACGACTCTTCTTGCTTCATATCGAATTTCCCACAATGGCTCCCTCCTTCGTGACCATTGACACGGGCGACAGCGATTTCGACATGGCCCCCGCGCCCCGATCGTTCGACACCGTGACCTCACGCACTCTCCTCCTCGCTCCCCCCTCCATTGCTACCCAAGAGGATAAATTACGAGCCCTCTTTACCACCCACCCCCGCGCAACTACCGACCTCCAAATGCTCGACCGTCTATCTGCCGGTTTCGTCACTCTTCCCACCGATACATATGATCTCGTCCTGGTTGTCACCGACTCCGATGGCTCACACCGCGCCGAGGCCTTGAAGCTTTTGACCCGAGATGTGTACACCGCTCTCGTCCCAGCCATGAAGGCCGGTGCACAGCTCCAAGCACAAGATAAAGCGCTGGATGCGTCTGAGGCCATGGAAGCCATTCTGGCTGGATTAGTCCAGACTGGCAATGGTTTCGAGAAGCCCAATTTTGAACAAGCCACTGCAATCCCGCTTAAGTTCGGCCTGAACAGGAAGAAAAAGACTACTACTCCGGCGCCAGCGCCAGCTCCTGCCCCGCCGGTGGGCTTACCAGTTACCGGATTTACGGCGAATGATATAAATGGAAACAACCACGACCGGGATGATGACGATGACGAGTTGATTAATGAGGATTCTCTTATTGACGAGGAAGATTTTACGAGACCGATCATGCCGCGTACGTTCCACATCTTACCCTCCTGCCTTTTGCACATATACTTATCCATTATTGCAATGTCCATTAACGATTTTATTAGCCCCAGAGTGTCAACCCAAGACCGGCCGCAGGCGGCGAGCCTGCAAGGACTGTACTTGCGGTCTTGCAGACCGACTTGAAGCAGAGGATAAGGAGCGCCGGGCGAACGCCGATAAGAGTTTGAACGTTTTGAAGCTGGAAACGGATGACCTGGCCGAGGTGGACTTCACTGTCGAGGGCAAGACAGGCTCCTGTGGTAGTTGTGCGCTCGGCGATGCATTCCGCTGTGACGGGTGTCCTTATATGGGTCTGCCTGCCTTCAAGCCTGGCCAGGAGGTCTCGATCTTGAACGACGTTGCTCAATTGTAATTGATTTGAAGTTTTTTTGGCGTGGAAACATGGTATTTCGGATGCATTTGAAATCTTAAAGCTATTGATTGCTTTGGAGTCTTGGAAAAACGAAAACTGGTCTTTGTTCAATAACCTATGATACCGCACTGGATTTAGTCCAGAAAAATCCTACTATGTTAGGTCCTTTTATCGCCTTATTCTTCGCTAATATGTGGATTGGATTCGAGTATTACGCCACCAGTATATATGGCGGGAAAAAATGCGGGAAAAAGTTCTATAAAATATGTACACCTGGGCATCTAATTATGGTTGGTCGAACTAGGCTTAAATACATGAATTTGAAGAGTAAGTATTTGCAAAAATAAAAAAAAATCACAAGACGTCAAATCAAATGTTGATTAAGAACCATTTTGGTTCATTGACGCTCCAGTTCAACGTTGTAAGCGCTTGCTGTCACCGAATGGGCTTTTCCGGTCTTTTTGTCGACGTTGAATACGAATTCGTTGATCGGGATATCGTGATAGTTAAGCTGATCAATAGTACTCGCCCAGTCCCCGGCAGAATACATCTTGGTAAATAAATGACCAGGAATTGGACCGGTGGGATCAACCGTCTCCATTTGAAAAGCGATTTGACCCGAGCCTGAAGTATCTTGGATTGTAGGCACAAGTCTCACTAGGTTAGGGCTTGCTTTTGCGGGAGGGAGTTTAGGGACCTGATTGATGAGGGTCTCGGCTAAGAGACTCTTAAGATCTGTGCTGTTGCTCACCCACTCGGTGATGACAAGACCAGGGGACGATTTGGATGATGAAGGGACAGCGACGGTTAAAGTTGTGTTCAGCTTCTTATCTTTCGATTTGTAGGTTCCTGCCAGGTTGGAGAGGGTTTCTTGGCGGCCCTGGTTCACCAGAGCGGGCATAAGGGAATTCGTAAGGGTATCAGCGATGAGTTGAATTGCCTGCGCTTGAACGGTTCCGTTGCTTGCACCGAGAATGCTGAAACCGATCTCAAAGTCCGGCACTAGGACGAGCAAGCCCGAGTAACTTCCAGAGTCGCCGAGTTTGGTGTAGATATCGGTAACAACACCTGAATCCTTGTGCTCGTACCGGTAGATCTCCCATGGTCGACCCAAGGCATAGCGTAGGTCTCCAGTGAAAGTCACCGGCTTGAGCCATCGGTTTGTTCTATCGATTGACATAAGGGTCGAGTTCAGGATACTAATTCCGATCTTCGAGAGGTCGTTGATGGTCGAGTAGATACCGCCAGATGGTGTAGTGATCGGGATTTCTTGAAGGGCTAACTCCGCGGTGCCGGCAATAACAGTGCGATTGATATCCTTAGGCTCAGATGGAGGCTTGGACAAGGTATTATTCAAGCCGAGGGGCTCGAAAAGTGCCTTTTTATAGAGGTCGTCCAATGACATACTGGTAAGATTGGCCAGTGCACCACCGAGAAGAAAGAATCCACTGTCGGAGTAAAGAGGACTGGCTGCGGGTTGATATCTGGGAAGATTCGAAGCAATACCCTTGACATAGTCATCAACATCGCACTCCATCTTCCCCGACTCGACATTTTGAAGACAAGGATACTGAGCCATGATCTCAGACTGGTTGAGAGGCGGTAGGCCCCATGCGTCCAGAACGGCTGGATTGGCGAGAGAGCGTAGCAGAATGTCCGTACTGACGGGGATGCCTAATCGAGGAATGCCGCCGAGGTGTGCCGCAATGTCACCGACAGTAATCTTGTCCCATTCGATGTCTCGTGTGGCATCGAAGTCCACCGCAGTCTTTTCGACGAAATCCTTGAAAGTGGGATAGATCTCGGTTAACGGAGTGTTCCAATCATTCTCATGGAGCTCCACCATGCCTGCATAGGTGGTGATGAGCTTTGAGATACTGGCCACACGATAGATGGAGTCAGCATCGACGCTTTTGGTCCCATATGTACCATTAAGAGTAGACGGAGCTGTGTGGTGGTACTGCCAGGAACTAGCGTCCTTGTCATGTACCGAGAACATTCCCATTGAGAAAGTAGTGTTTTTCAGCATGGCCGAGGCCAGTTTACCCAGACCACCACCCTTGAGAGTTTGATCTAAAGTTGCGGTAACATTCTTCCAGCTGGCACCCACCCGGCTGGAATCACTGCTGATATCTTGAGGTGCTGGGTAGGCCGGGCCTGGGAGGTGGCCACCCAGAGCTGCCGGAATGCAGAGTGGGATAAGAGTGAGAGCGGATGTTAAGACTCGCATGATGCCCTATATTTGATGTGAGAATCTTGGAATATAGGAATTTGAACCAAGAGGATCTATTTCATGGCCGGAATAGTATCCCTTTATACTTCCAAATCGTGTAAGGCGTTTCCCAGGAACTCAGCCTCTGGAGGCAGGGTTCAACGCTAAGCTCATCTGGGCGATATCTGGCGCTCGCCCCCAAAGTCTAGAAAATCTTATCCTTGTAGATATCCACCGATCAGCGTAAGCTTCGTCTCGTAGTTGAGAAGCGCAGCGTGCTGCCTGAATGGGTTTAGCGTCGCGGCATTTGTTCAGCGGCGTTTGGCCCCACAACTCTGCATCGCTACTCGGCTGTGTTGACACTGACATACCGATGATCACTGTGATGATGACGATGCAGTGCATTCGATCTCACGATTGCTATTGTTTGCCGATTACGTTGTATCGTTCACTTGGCAAACTGGGCAGCAGGATGATTGACTGCGCCCCTTTCAGGGCCTTGCAATTAGGTATGGATCCTGCCTGACATGCCAGTGAATACATAGTCAACCCTCAGCTCGGATAACACAGCCAGTGGAACTTGAAAAAGTAATGACAGATCAAATTCTGCTATATGCTGTGTAATATTTTGTATCATTACCGAGAAAAACAACTCTTTTGCGTTCTCCAGGACTGTTCGTTCCCCTTTATATTGAAATCATCGCGCATTCATTCGTGATAAGGAACGTAATATCCATAAATTCCCAATTCCGTTCTAAGAGCGCTTCATCTGTGCAACACGAATGCTAACAGCCCGCTTATGAGCCTCGAGTCCCTCCACGGCAGCCAATGTCTCGACAGTCTTCGAGAGACCGAAGAGGCCTTCGGCAGTCAGGTTCGAGCTGGTGATGTGCTTCAGGAAAGAGCCAAGGTTGACACCAGAGTATTGCTTGGCATAGCCGTAGGTAGCTAGCAATCTTGTTAGTAACTAAAACAAATGTTTGGATTTAGAAAAGCATTATCAACTTACGCAAAGAGTGGTTGACACCGGCCGAGTAGTCACCCACGCTCTCAGGGGTCCAGGGTCCAATGAAGACACTGCCGGCATTCTGGACCTGCTCAACCACAGCTTCAGGGCTATCGACCTGCAGAATCAAGTGCTCCGGGGCGT